CCACCTTACAAGTTGCTAGTAGGATCAAATAAAATGATGTAAAGTATTTCCTGGCTGGGTGCTGGTGGCTCATGCTTGTAATCCTAGCACTTTGTGAGTCTGAGGCAGGAGGATAGCTTGAGGCCAGAAGTTCAAGGCTGCAATGAGGTATGATAGCATCACTGCCCTCCAGCCTGGGCAACAGAGCAAAACCCCATCTCTAAAAAAAAAAAAAACACTATATAAATATGTTTTAAGTTATATAATCCCAAGATGGAAGCTAAAAGCACAATATTTTTCTGGGAAAAAAAATGCAACTTCAATAAAAGATGTTTGTAAAACCAAGAAAGGATTGGCAAAAAAAATTGCATGCATATTTGAAAAAGTGTGGAGATTTATGATCAAAGATATTGGCGGGATGATCTATAAGGTTTCCTCTAATAATAAAGGTCTGTAACAATTGCATTTGAAATGTTAAGCCTCTATCCTAAAAATAAACAAAAACAAAATCCTAAATTAGGTTATCTGTGCTTTTAATTCTATATTTTATACTTTTAATAACTTACTTGGGATCAAACTAAGTTTCCAAGTATCCCCGGAGTAGAAAGCATTTCTCAAAGCAGAGCAAATTTTGAATTGCTAATATTTGTTTGTTCTTCTCAGAATGAGTAATTTTAAAAGTAGACTATATTAATAGTCTGTGTTGTACTAACTGTGGCCAAAGCATTAAAACATAAGGTGACACAAAAAATAATGAAAATAAATTTTGTATGTGAGCAAATATATTTGTTTGCAAATGGATCACTAGAAACAGTGATCACAGTAATGACATGAAAAGGCGTAAAAGGCAACATACATCTTTTGGATTTACTTTATTGACTAACCGTAAGATGAAACCTGGAAGCAATCATTAATTTGCCAGAAGGTGAGACTTTAACCAATTTAGTAGTCTAGCATTATGTGGCAAGCCCATACAAATTGTGGGATGATAGGTGTACTGTCCCATCATGAGTTAAAACCAAGCAACAGAAAATGCTAGTAGGAAAAGCTTACATTTACATATATTTTATAGCTAAGAAATAAAATTTGAAAAATAAAGCTTTCAAAAAGCTAAGGAACTGCCCTTTCTTCAGTTTCATAAATGGGAATAACCATCTACGAACGCAGTTTAAAAATAGTAACACGTCTCTTATAGTGCTTTTCAAACTTTAATATGCAAATAAATCACCCAAGGATCATTATTTCTTGAATTATGTTACCATATGATTTGGGAGACTAAATAATGGTTCCTCAAAGATGTTTACAATCTAATCCACGGAATTTATAAATGTTACCATACATGCCAAAGGGACTTTGTAGAGGTGGTTAAATTAAGGATCTTGAGATGGGGAGATTATCCTCGAGTACCTTGGGTAGGCTCTAAATGTAATCAAAAGTGTCCTTGTTGCTTCAGCTCAGGAGTTTGAGACCAGTCTGAGCAAAAAAAAGTGAGACCCCGTCTCTACTAAAAAAAATAAAAAGAAATTAGCCAGACAACTAAAAATAGAAAAAATTAGCTGGGCGTGGTGGTGCACACCTATAGTCCCAGCTACTCAGGAGGGTGAGGCAGGAGGAGCGCTTGAGCCCAGGAGTTTGCGGTTGCGTGAGCTAGACTGATGCCATGGCACTCTAGCCTAGGCAACAGAGCAAGACTCTGTCTCAAAAAAAAAAATTAAAAAAAAAAAGTGTCCTTGTAAGAGGAAGGCCCAGGGAGTCAGAGTGAAAAAAAGGTCTTACGACAATGGAAGCAGAGAAAGAGAGTGGAAGATTCTACACTGATGGCTTTGAAGGCGAGGCTATGAGCCAAGGAATGTAGGCAGTCTCAAGAAGCTAGGAAAGCAGAGAATTGAATTTTTCTGTCGGACCCTCCAGAAGAAATGCAGGCCTGCTAACACCTTGATTTTAGACCAGTGAAACTGATTTTGGGCTCCAAAACTGTAAGATAACAAATTTGTGTTCTTTTAAGCCACTAAATCTGTGGTTATTTTTTTATTTTGTTTTTTTTTTGAGACAGGGTCTCATTCTGTTGCCCAGGCTAGAGTGCAGTGGTGTCATCATAACTCACTGCAACCTCAGTGGACTAAAGTGAGCCGCCAGCCTCAGCCTCCACAGTATCTGGGATTACAGGTGTGTGCTACCATGCCCGGCTAATTTTTCTACTCTTTTCTGTAGAGATGGTGTCTTGCTATTGCCAAGGCTGGTCTTGAACTCCTTGGCCTCAAGCGATCCTCCTCCTACCTTGGCCTACCAAAGTGCTAGGATTACAGATGTGTGAGCCACTACACCCAGCCTGTGATAATTTATTATAGCAGCAAGAGAAAACTAATACAAAACAATGACAATTTCTTTAAAATGGAAGTTATGTGTTTATTAAAAGCATTGTTTAATAACACTAAAAACAGAGTAACAACTAAAACTCCAAAAAGAAATTTTAAAATGATGCACAACTACTAAAAACTGTCATAGAAAAACTTAAATTATTATATATGGAACACATGAGGACATAATAGGATTACTAAAAAGTAGGTTCCAAAATGATATAATTTTTAAAAAATGTATGTATTTTTAAGTGTCCTATGGTTCTATATGTTGAATTGTGTCCCCAGAATTCATATGTTAAAGCCCTAACCACAAATGTGACTATATTTGGAGATAGGGCTTTTAGGAGACAGAGTTAATGAGGTCAAAGGGGTAGGATCCTAATCTGATAGGATTGGTGGCCTCCATGCACGTGTACTGAGGAAAGAAGGCAGCCATCTGCAAACTAGAAGAAAGCCCTCACCAGAACTCAACCATGCTAGCACTCTGATACGGGGCTTCTAGACTCCAGAACTGTGAGAAAATAAATTTCTGTTGCTTAAGCCATCGTTCTAGTCTATGGTGTTTTGTTACAGTAGCCTGAGCAGACTAAGACATATATTAATAGTAAATGTATGTCATTTTTATGACATAGAAAAATAAATATTTTTTAGCCATAGCAACAACTTTGAAAGACTCTGATGGATAAATTTTATTTAAAAAGCATTGTAAACAAAAACGCATGACTTTGTCTATATTCAGGGTCATATAGTTCTTTTAAAGTACAGTGCTATAATACTTTATAAAAAGAGATCCTACATTATCTGATGCTTGGTAACAATATTTATCACTTATAATACCCTCACACTCTTGATTTTATGATTTGAGCAGATGGAATATAAAATGATGGGTCATTTTTTAATGACTGCATCAATTATAATAAAATTATATGCTTTAAAGCCCTCAAAAGATAGTTACAGTCAGTCATCTTACGTTAAAGTAGTTATTTAAAATTAGTCTTATGTAAATAGGATGACCATATACTTGATTTGCTTGGGATAGCCCTGGTTTATGTCCTCTGTCCTGGCATAATTGTTAGCAGTGCCCACTCTCATTCTCAAAAAGGCCAGACATGGTGGCTCACACCTATAATCCTAGCACTTTGGGAGGCTGATGAGGTAGAATTGCTTGAGGTCAGGAATTCGACACCAGTCTGAGCAAGAGTGTGACCCTGTCTCTCTACTAAAAACAGAAAAAAATCAGCTGGGCATGGTGGCGCATGCCTGTAATCCCAGCTACTTGGGAGGCTGAGACAGGAGGATTGCTTGAGCCCAGGAGTTTGAGGTTGCAGTGAGCTATGACACCACTGCGCTCTAGCAGGGGCAACAGAGCGCAGTGGCGTCATCATACCTCACTGCAACCAAGCGAGATTCTGTCTCAAAAAAAAAAAAAAATATTCCTGGTAAACTATGGCTATTCTATGTATAATCAATTGCACAACAGTTATACTGAGTAATTTTATAAATTTAGTGTTTAGTCTGGGATAAGAAATACCACCTGACACTAAAATCTGGGAAATACGGTTGCACAGTATATAATACTCAATGATTTAAATAATTTTTTTCCACAGGGAACCCAAGTAAATTTTGTAAATGAATTCAAAAGTACTAAGAACTCGGTGCCAATACATTTTTAGATGACTTTGAAACCACTCAAAAATCCAATTTTTAAAAAATTTTGAGACAAGGTCTCACTGTGTTGCTCAGAGTTGGAGTACAGTGGCAGAATCATAGCTCACTGCAGCCTCGAATGCCTGGGCTCAAGCAATCCAATCCTCCCACATTGGCCTCCCAAAGTGCTGGAATTATAGGTGTGCACCACTGTGCTTGGTTCAAATTTTTAATTTATTCAAGCTGCGTTAAGATTATTCAAAGGAAAATGTTAATATACCTAGAATTCCAGAATGGTTCATACCTTGTCTCAAAATGTAAAAATAAATAATTGTAAAAAATAAATAATAAATAATTACCAACCTGACTATCCTGGAAGATACATGTTCCAAACAATTTTCAGATGAGATAACAGCTCCAAAGTCCTCCCCTTAACATTATAAAATAACATAAAAAAACTAAACAGATGGCTTATATTTTAGGATTGAGTTCCCTAAAATCAGTTTCGTCATCTAAAATTTGTATACTACCCATAACAATGAACATAATGATATGCTGATTCATGGTGCCGGCTTCTCTTTCTAATAATAAAAACAGGTCATTTTTAAGAATTATCGAAGTTACATTTAAAGAGGAGAACACAGTAAGAATATGAAAAAATCTTTACTTCCTGGGATTTTCTAGGCAATTGGCAAAGAAAGGGGGGAAAATAATCCAAATGGTAAATTCAGACTGGCTATATAACATCAACATTCCACATTTATGAAATATAATACCTACATCATATCTACTGGAATGTTAATTGAACAGGGCAAAATATAATTGTAGAACATTACTTTAGAAAAACTTTTTCAGAGAATCATATTCCTTAAGTATTTTTTCCATTCACTTAATATAACCCTGACTCAGTCATGCCATAGTGTGTGTTTATATTTTAAAGTAATGAGTCTATTACTTGTACACATTGATTTCACAGCATCAATACATTTGTATACTTTGAGATTAGTTTTTGGATTACTGTTCTTCCTCTGGTTCTCGTGACCGTTTCCGGGAATTCAATGAACCTTCTGTTTCCAATGAACATGCCGTAGCAACAGCAGCATCTCTGAATCCCTGAGGCTGCAAGACAAAAAACACAAACACACACACACACACACACACACACAAATATACTTTCAGAACATTTAAAATAAAGATTAGTTTCCCAAATATTTTTAAGTAACTGATAAGAAAGATACTTTGTTCTTGAGATAGAATTTATCAACCACTGCGAATGAACAGGGGATAGGTGTCCAAGCCAGGGCTGTATTAGAGTATTTTATATATATTTATTTATACATATCCATACACACACACAGAGAAATAACACTGCATTGTAAAAATGTTCTCTAAAGGACCTAGCAAGCTTTATGGTGGCTCTGTTGGAAAAGGTGAAAGGAGGTAACATGTACTAATTCTTAAGTACTTTATAAATTTATTTTCCCAATTAAATACTCTAAAATAAAATTTTCCCACTAAGATATTTCGAATGCACCTGGGCAGTGCAAAGACTAAGTGGATAATTCAGTTTCAGAATCTCTTTTCATTTCTGTTTTTGTACTTACAAAAATGAGATGCCAAGAATATACTTGGCTTAACACTATTGATAAATATGCATATTTCAGCCAAAAATGTGTGTTCTATGATGTAAATTCACAGGAAAACTAACATTTTAAAGTGGGCTATATTTGGTGGCTACGATAGATCTATAAAATCTATGGCTAAAATGAGTAATGTTAGTATTTTTTCTTTTCTGGAAATCTTCAACAACTTTCACTTTAAAAATCTTTAATATCCTGACATTACATATGGCATGGAACACACCACCCAAAAATAAGTATTTCCTCTACTTTTAAGAATAAATTTCAGTCCAATTGTGACTACAGTATTCTGTATATACTACTATTTTGGGGACAATGTTCTAAGCATCAAAAGCTGTCCTCAAATATGCTTGCTGCCTACAGAAGTTAACAGAAGCAATTTGTAAATGATCTCCTCAGATAATTACTGCCCACCAACACCAAAACCCCACTCTAATCAAATAATACTGACTGTGATTTGAAACAGTACTGTGGATTCCTTCTGGCTTGGTGATTTGTATAATGTTGCCAACCTGCTTAGAGAAAAAGAATATATAAAAACACACAATCTTAATTAATTAGTTCAGGTGACTAAATTCCTAATTTATAGTTTTTTTACTATAATTTTGTTTTCTAAAGACACATAAAAGAGAAATATCAAAAATATCTATTATATGTATGCATGTAATAATTATTAATTACATATAACAGTTATTTATATAAGTGAACTTTTTAAAAAAGCCCAATGACTAATAAAAATAATTTATTTTTTTATTTTTATTTTTTTTTACTATGTCACCCTACATGAACTTTGACTAAAATAAATTATTTTATATATGATGAGACACTATTTATGTTAAAAACAAATGGTGGAAGAAAATATTTAATTAGTTAGAAAAGTATTAATATATTAATAGTTATACTGTATGATCCATTTATAAGTATGTATATATGTATACATGTATTAAAATATTGCTAGAGGCCGGGCGCGGTGGCTCACGCCTGTAATCCTAGCACTCTGGGAGGCCAAGGCGGGTGGATCGCTCAAGGTCAGGAGTTCGAGACCAGCCTGAACAAGAGCGAGACCCCATCTCTACTAAAAATAGAAAGAAATTATCTGGACAACTAAAAATATATATATATAGAAAAAATTAGCCGGGCATGGTGGCGCATGCCTGTAGTCCCAGCTACTCGGGAGGCTGAGGCAGGAGGATCACTTGAGCCCAAGAGTTCGAGGTTGCTGTGAGCTAGGCTGAAGCCACGGCACTCTAGCCTGGGCAACAGAGTGAGACTCTGTCTCAAAAAAAAAAAAATTGCTAGACTACAAACAAAAAGTTAATTTTTATCATAAGGTAAAGTTTATCTATATTTCTCAAACTTTCTGCAGTAATCACGTATATTTTGTGTTATTATAGAAGAATTAAGACAACTTCTTGGAATATAAATGAGGAATACATACTATATTATACCAATACAAATAAGCTAGGAAGACACATTGTTTTAAAATAATTATGTCCCAAAAAATCACTATCATGACAGAACAAGGTTTGTTTAGGTGGAATTTTATTATTATTATACAAAGTAAATAATATAAAACTGAACGATAAAAGTAGTTGAGAAATAAAATTCTAAACTCTTAACTATATTCAAATACTGTAAGAGCAACAAATATAAATAATAAACCTTTAGAGTACCTTTTAAAATTACTTTAAAACTGATCCTGTAATTTATTCACAATAGCCAAAAGGTAGAATCAACCCAAGTATTCATGGACAGATGAATAAATAAAATGTGGTATATACATACAATAGAATATTATTTAGACTTAAAAAGGAAGAAAATTTTGACACATGCTACAACTTGGGTGAACCTTGAAGACATTATGCTAAGTGAAATAAGTCAGTCACAATAGGACAAATACTGTATGATTCCAATTATATGAGGTATCTAGAGCAGTCAAATTCATAAAGACAAAAAGTAGAATGGTGGTTGCCAGGAGCTGAGGGGAAAGGAGAATCAGGAGTTAGGATTTACTGGGGAAAGAGTTTCAGCATAGGAAGATGAAAAAGTTCTGAAAATGGACAGTGGTGATAGTTGCAAAATTTGAATATACTTAAAGTCAATAAAGTGTACACTAAAAAGTGGTTAAAGTGGTAAATTTTATGTTATATACATTTTACCAAAATTTTTAAAAACTGATACAACTATACAAAAGGCAGATTCTAACTTAGAGAAAAAAAATCATATACTCAGGGCTATAAGGGTCATTCATTTACAAGTAATGTAATGTTGATTTGTTTTCAAAGACAATTCGTAAGGGACATTTTGGCTATGATTTGTTACTTTCTTTATTTTTAAACTGCCCCTCTCCTCAGGCAAAATTTAAAAGAAAAGCAATCAGAAACCATGGACCATTAGCTTATTGTTCTGGGTGTGTACTTCCAGGATGAAAAGAGCAGAATCCAAAATGTCATATATTCTATAACTGCAACTTTATGCATAAATAAAATTGCTTCCAAGTAATATGTAATCAGAATAGCTGTGCTGAGTGGGATTATAAATTTTTGCAATGCTTTGGGATTGACAGCCTATCTTTAATGCAAAAATACAGCAGAAAAATAGAGGAAAAGTGTATTTTAACTGGCCTTATTAGAAAAATCACTGTTTGATTCAATAAAACAAAAATTTGCTAACCTGAAAAATTAGTATCTAAATCACCTCATATTAACAGCATGTTGCAAAAGGTACCCAGTGCATTTAATTTTTCTGAGGAAATTATCAAAAAGTATTAAGCTTTTAAGATACATTTGTACCTTTATTAAAGAATCCTAAAGTCAAAGGGGCACTAATTATTCAGGCTGAAAACTGTTCTCAAATTTCTAAGTAAAAACACATTTTTGTATGTCATATCTGCATCTCAAGAGATCTTTTTAAACAAGAAACTAAACCAAAGAATCACTTGGCTCATGGCCCTAACTGAGATGAACCTTAACATATGGCTGAACTACATCGTTTGGGTCAGGAAGAAACAAGACAGAAGCACAATTTGTGCTCTAAAACTGAGCACACATATGAAACACTGTGTGGGGGTGTTGATATATTACTCCACTCTACCATCAGATCTTCTTGGCAAAGAGTAGTGTAATTCTGAACAATCTTGGCTTCATATTATCATGAATATGCAAATTGGAGGAAAACCCACATAATATAAGGACACAGACAAAATTATTTCTTTTAATAACTGTTGGAATATTATTCCACCATTAGTCAAAGGGTAAAGATCAGGTGTTACCGGTGAACGATGGGGGCTGACCATGAGATGGTATACCTAAATTCAATTCCCAATATAAATTTGGCTATTTAAGATTTTAGTTTTTCTACCCACATGAAAAGTGTTCCTTTTTATAACTATTCTTCCTCAGTATGAATTTCTACTTCCATCCATTCAAGATAAACTAAATTTTATTTTATTTTTTTTAGCGACAGGGCTGTCGCCCAGCCTGGAGTGCAGTGGCACAATTATATCTCACTGCAGCCACAAACTCCTGGGTTCAGGGGATCCTCCTGCCTTAGCCTTCTGAGTATCAGGGACTACAGGTATGTGCCACCATTACCAGGTAATTTTTCTTATTTTTTTTTTTAGAGATGGGGGTCTCGCTACATTGCCCTGGCTGATCTAAAACTCCTGGCCTCCAGTGATCCTCCCACTTTAGCCTCCCAAGTTACTGAGATTATAGGCATGAGCCACCACACCCAGCAAGATAAATTAAATTTTAAAAAGTATATAAGATTTCATGCAACTTTAATGACATAAAGATACATGCTTTTCATGAAGATCAAAAGAATTTTAATTTTATTGAATGAGGTCAACTTATTCTGAAAAGGACAGTTAATTAAAATTCTATAAATGATAGCTATTATTTACTACTTATTTAGTCAATTAACCTTTTTGGGTCTTGGTTTCTCACTTTTAATGATAACAGGCAAAGATTCTTCAAAGAATTATTGAAAGGATTATTTGAAACGTATATAAAGTGTCTAGTAAAATACCTAGCACAAGCAAGCACGCACTCAAATGATAGTATGAGATATAGGAAAAATTTTAAAATCATCTAAATTCAATCTATCTAAATCATTCTCTAATTTCTTGGGAAGGATTCATAGTAAGCTGAATTCATACAATGGTTAACTCTTAAAAGTAAGCATGATTTTCTGACCTGTGCTAATTTTTAGATAAAGAAGGCAAACTTTTCCTTCTGATGAGTTCATAAAAAGATGAAATATCTTGCTTTGCCCCTATTATTTTTCTTTCTTCTTAAATATATTCTATTAGTGAGTATCTAATTTTAATCTGGAGAAGACTACTACTGTATACTACCTCAAGGGGAATTCCTAAGAACATTTAAATGGTGGAATGTGGCTGTTGCCTGTAATCCCAGCACTTTGGGAGGCTGAGGCATGAGGATCCCTTGAGGCCAGGAGTTCCAGACCAGCCTGAGCAACATAGTGAGACCACATCTCCACAAAAAATTTAAACGTTATGTGGGTGTGGTGATGCGCACCTGTAATCGATCTCGGCTACTGGTGAGACTGAGGTGGGAGAATCGCTTGAGCCCAAGAGTTTGAAGTTGCAATGAGCTATGACTGTGCCACTGCACTCCAGCTTGGGCGACAGAGTGAGATTCTGTCCCTATTAAAAAAAAAAAAAAAAAGAGGTGGAGTACACATTACAGAACAAGCTAAGCTAAATCTGGGAAAGTATAAGCAATATGTTGAAAAGACTCTCAGCTGGAGAACTGTTGCCAAGACTTTAGAAAAAGGTTTGCTGCTGAGAAAAGAACTTCTTTTGTGAATCCAGTATACAGTGACTTATTTACAAAATTAGGAGGAGGTAGTTCATTGTAAAGCATTGTGTATTAGAAAAAAAATCTTACCTGAGCTCTATGGAAATACCATCCTCAAAGGAGACACAAAATACATGAGCAGTTGCAAAGGATGTATGCAGAAGGGACAGATTCTGCTATGAGCTTAGGGTCAGTAAAAACTAATTTGGTCAGGAATGATTTTTTTCAGTTTGTAGAAGAACAAAAAAATGCAGATTAAAAAATAGACAATATCACTGACTAGGCCCCATATATATTGTGTAACCCTTTACTCCATCTTTGCCCATATGCTGTCTCAATTTCCTCCTTTATTAGAGCATTTCCAAACCAAGTTCTCTAGGTTATGCCAATTAATCACAAAGCAGAGAGGCTGGCATGAATTTGACATTTCTAGAAGTGTAGAATAAAAGACTTCACAGCTTTCAATGGCCTATTTTAAAGAAAATAAAAGCTGATTTGTTCACTTGCTCAGCAGCTTTAAAAACAAACACAAAGGTTTCATGCTGCCATACTTTTATTTTAAAGAATAATATAATACTTGTGAAAGGCAGGTAAGTAAGTAACTGGATAATAAAAGCAGGATAGGAAAATACAAAGAAAAAAATAACAATTTCATACAAAAAACATACTAAACAACTAAGAAAAACTGTCCTATTTTCCACATAAATTAGAGTCTTAAAGCTAACCCCAAAAGTTTTCCTTTTATCCTGATTTTATTTTTTTCAATCCCTTGCAGGAACACAGAGTACCCACCACCTCCTTTTACATGGCTAACAAATAATTTCAAAGAGCTTTAGAAGGTGGCATTCTTTCGCCACCTACTCATTTCAGGTGCATGCACCCAATCATTTAAATATTCCAAAGAATTTCTTATGTAGCTAAATGTGCAGTATAGCGACATGTTTCTATGTTTGCTCTAGGTGATGTAAGACAAGGCAACAAAAGCATTAGTTCATGGGTCACTGTAGATCTCATCCACAGGACTAACTCTAAGAAACTAGTAAGTGTTAAGTGTAATTAACCCAATATTTAGAGTTATTAACTTCTTTCTATACAAACCTTTGTTTTCGGTCCCAATGAAAGATAAGCCGTATTGTAGCAGCATGTCCCCAACTTTCCCCTGAGAGAAAAGAACATAATAACTGTATACTGCCTTACTGACTAGGTTATAAGTTTCTCAGAATGTCTCTGACCAAATCCAGTCTTACTATATTTAACATAACAAGAGTATACTTGGTGTCAAAGAACCTGGGAAATGAGTAACATCTTAAGACTGATAGATTTTTACCTATCTAGGGAAATCCTGCAAATCATTATCCTCTATTTGCTTTTAGAAAACTTTACAGTTTGAGTCGGTATATTTGTCATTCTTCGTATCATCAGGCTAACATATTTCTGAACCCCAGAAGAAAAGTAAAAACTTTGACAGAATATTCTTAATGATTTTAGTAGAAATAAATCTTGAAGCATTGTATTCTATTGTATTCATTGTATTCTAACTGTGACTGAGGTTAGGAACAGTGTCTAAGTCTACACACTGTAGTGTGATTTGTATATAAATGAATTCACCATTCTTCCTGCCTGACTATGAGCATTCTGAGGGCAAGAATCATCTTATGAATATTTATATCCCCATATTTGACACAATAGTGTCATACAGTAGATACTGAATAAATATTTGTTAAATAAACAGTTAGTATCTAAGGGCACTGTGCTTGATGCTAAGATTTGTCAATGAACAAGACAAATACAGGCTCTGCTTTCATGGAGCTTACAGTACTCAACAAGAATCAAGTGATAGCGGTAGAAAAAAATGTGTTTAACTAAAATGTTTATCTGATTAATTACCCACCTAATGCAGGAACCAGCAAGGCCTGATTTTTATCAATCTTTGTTGTCATCTGATTGGTTAAAATTACCTATGAAAACAAAATGTGAGAAAGTTAGGTGAGTCTCTGAGGCAATGAATTATGAGAAGAGATCTAAAATCATAAAGAAAGTACAATGTAAGCAGAAGAATTAGGAAAAAATAAAACCCAGTAGTCAGGTCAAATGAATCCAAACTATGACTACGCTAGTCTGCTAGTAATAGCAACAAGTGTTGTTTTACTACTCACAGATGGTCCTCAAAGGTAAAAATATTACTAATTCTCTTGATTAAATAGTGACCTACACAAAAAAATTCCTTATTTTGAAAGGTAGTAATTTTAAAACTGGAAAAACAAAAGTGTTTACAGCTGATTTAATACAGTACAAGTCAGATTTCTGGCACTTTTTCATCCAAAATTCTCCAGAAACAAGTTTTGCTGTATTTTATTTTATTTCTACATTTTTCATTGTTTAGAACTTTTTGTTACAAGTATACATAACTTATAATTGTAAAATATGTTTATTATCAAAAGTCATATATGCTTCTATACATGCTAGCTGGGAAAAAAATATCAAGCAAAGAAGAATTTATAAAGTTAGGGGAAAGTGTATCCCTAATCCCATAAAATCCTATCCCTAGAAGTAGCCACTGTTAATGTTTTGATTCTTTCAGACCTTTTTATTTATTTATTTATTTTTTTTGAGACAGAGTCTCACTGTGTTGCCTGGGCTAGAGTGCCATGGCGTCAGCCTAGCTCACAGCAACCTCAAACTCCCGGGCTCAAGCAATTCTTCTGCCTCAGCCTCCCAAGTAGCTGGGACTACAGGCATGCGCCATCATGCCCGGCTAATTTTTTCTATATATTTTTAGTTGTCCAGATAATTTCTTTCTATTTTTAGTAGAGACGGGGTCTCACTCTTGCTCAGGCTGGTTTCGAACTCCTGAGCTCAAACAATCCGCCCGCCTAGGCCTCCCAGAGTGCTAGGATTACAGGCGTGAGCCACCACACTTGGCTCAAACCTTTTCCTTTATATATATAAACGCACACATACAATTTTAATTTTCTCAAAAGTGGGATTACACTATTTATTTATTTTTTCTTTTTTTCTTTTTTTTGAGACAGAGTGTTGCTCTGTTGCCCCAGGGAAGAGTGCAGTGGCATCATCATAGCTCAAGGGAATCTCAAACTCCTGGGCTCAAGCAATCCTTCCACCTCAGCCTCCCAAGTAGCTGGGACTATAGGTACATGCCACCATGCCCAGCTAGTTTTTCTATTTTTTTTGTAGAGATAAGGTCTCGCTATGTTGTTCAGACTGGTCTTGAACTTCTGGCCTCAAGCGATCCTCCCACCTCGGCCTTGTAAAACGCTAGGATTACAGGCATGAGCTACCATGCCTGGCCACACTAAATATATTTTTATGCAACATAAAGTTTCTCACATAATCTTTTATCTGTATATATCTTGTTCCATGTTGGTATGTTTATATTTACATTATTCTTCTTAAATGATGCATACTATTTGATATTATCATTCGGATTACCTTTTTAATCAGAAAAGATGAAGCTATTTCTTTTAAAACAAAAACCAAAACCTAAGGAACTATGCAACCCATTAGTCTTGAGTGCCCCCTACTGGAGGCATTCATTGACATTAACAGAATGCTAAATTACAATTAATAGCAAGAAATATTAATAATTCAAACACAGGGCACTATATTTTTCAGCATATGGCAAAAAAATCTGGAAGCTCAAAGAAAAGATGTATGATTTTAAATTTAAATTATTTTATCGGGAGAGTTTTTTATTCACTTATGATGTATTGCAGGTATCTGCTAAGGACCCTAATTAAAGACAAAGAAATCGAGTTAAATAGTTTGACTTTCTTCCACCTCATTCCCAGAAAAGTGTGCCTATTTGTGCCAGTGGTGGGATGTGGTTGCAGAGTAGGAAGTAATGGCAAACAGCCAGTTAAAAATAAGTTTTACCTCACTCCTTTGTATCTCTTGACTTTTGAGCCTGTATTTACCTCTCTCCTCACATTTCAAATCTAGAAGAGTTATTTAGACCTACCTCAAAACATCTAGGTTGTTTACACTATGTAATTTTCTAATCTATCTGAGTCTGTGATTATACACTATGTAATAATCAAGATTCAGAGTAAAAGAAAAACAGAGATGTTGGAAGAGCTTACCTGAAAAACATCCAAGTATATTTAGACAAAGAAAATACTGCAGTTACCAAAGGTAGCATTTCATTATCAAAGTCCATTTTTAAAAATGACATTGGTTATGCTTGTTATTTTACAGGAAAACTGCTACACAACACTTATGAAAAGAGTTAATTTTTTATAGAAACCAAACCAAACAAAACAAAACTATACTTAAACTGGCATGTCTGTGTTATTTGCTTTTGGCCAGGCAAATTCTATTTTGCTATTTCTAGATATTAATATTTTATACAGTCTTGATTTTGTTATGAAATTCTCTTCACTAGTAATACTTACAGCTAATTTGTAATTATTTGCAAGGCTGATCATTTGCTGGGCCAGGCCATTTAGTAATCGAGTACGAAGAGATAGGTCATCTAGGTCGTGACGAAAAGGAAAAGCAATACCATCCACTATCACCAATCGAACCTAAATAAAGAAGAGATAATGATACTAGATTAGCTATGAAAAATAAAATAATAAAAGTGACATCCATCACAGAAAAAACAAAAAATCTTGAAATCCAGGGCTTTATCTCCAACTCTCCAAGGAATGGTTTTCTCATGGAGAGGTGTTTTTTGTTTCTTTTTTAAGAGACAGGGTCTTAGGCCGGGCGTGGTGGCTCACGTCTGTAATCCTAGCACTCTGGGAGGCCAAGGCGGGTGGATTGTTTGAGCTCAGGAGTTCGAAACCAGCCTGAGCAGGAGTGAGACCCCGTCTCTACTAAAATTAGAAAGAAATTAATTGGACAACTAAAAATATATACAAAAAATTAGCCGTGCATGGTGGTGCATGCCTGCAGTCTCAGCTACTCGGGAGGCTGAGGCAGGAGGATTGCTTGAGCCCAGGAGTTTGAGGTTGCTGTGAGCTAGGATGACGCCACGGCACTCTAGCCTGGGCAACACAGTGAGACTCTGTCTCAAAAAAAAAAAAAAAATGAAGCAGAAATTAAGACATTCTGAGATAAACAAAGAGTTCATCACTAGTAGACCTGTCCTACAAGAAATACTAAACAGAGTCTTTTGGGCTGAAATAAAAGAACACTAGACAGTAACTTCAATCCCCACAAAGAAAAAAGAACACTGGTAAATGTAACTAGATGGGTAAATACAAAAGTCAGTATTAATGTATTTTTAGTTTGTAACTCCTCTTATTTTCTTTTATGATCTAAAAGACAACTGTATAATACAATAATTATAGGCTGGGTGTTGTGGCTCAAGCCTATAATTCCTATAATCCTAGCACTTTGGAAGGCTGAGGGAGGATCGCTTGAAGCCAGGAGTTTGAGAGCAGACTGGGCAACATAGTGAGTGAAACCCTATCTCTACCAAAAAAAAAAAAAATCCAGTAATTATAAACCTATGTTGATGGGCTTACCACGTATAAAGATGTAATTTGTGCCAATAACAACATAAAGACAGATAAATGGAACTATACTGGAACTACACAGGACCAAAGTTTTTGTATACTCTGAAATTAAGTCAGTATTAATTCAAACAAGATAGCTATGAACTAAGATGTTAACAGTAATCTCAGGGCAACTATTCAGAAAATAACTAAAAAATATATAGTAAAAGAAATGAAGCCAGGGATGTTGGCTCACACCTGTAATCCTAGCACTATGGGAAGCTAAGATGGGAGGATTGTTTGAGGGCAGGAGTTCAAGACCTCCTTGAGCAAGAGCCAGACCCACTCCCTACAAAATAGAAAAATTAGCCAGGCATAGTGGTGTACACCTGTAGTCCCAGCTACTTGGGAGGCTGAGGTAGGAGGATGGCTTGTGGCTAGGAGTCTGAAGTTGCAGTGAACTATGACAAGGCCACTATACTCTACCCAGGGCGATAGAGCGAGACCCTGTCTAAAAAAAAAAAAAAGAAAAGAAAAAAAGGAAATGAGAATCAAAATGATACACTAGAAAATACGCACCTAACAAAAAAGAAGGCAGTAATAGAAGAACTGAGAAACAGGATGAGATATCGTGATATAACAAGAAATGCACCTTTGGGCCAGGCATAGGGGCTCACGCCTGCAATCCTAGCATTTTGGGAGGCCAAGGAAGGAAGATCTCTTGACCCCAGGAGTTTTAGACCAGCCTGGACAACACAGAAAGACCCCATCTCTACAATAAATTTAAAAATTAGCCAGGTATGATGGTACATGCCTGTGGTCCCAGCTACTAGGGAGGCTGAGGCAGGAGGATCATTTGAGCCCAGGAGATAGAGGTTGCAGTGAGCTGTGATAATGCCACTGTACTCTAGCCCAGGCAATAGAGCAAGATCCTATCTCAAAAATAAATAAATAAATATAAAAAAACTTGAAAAAAAATAAAAGAAATTCGTATTTGGTTTCTGCCCTCAATTCCTGAGACAGAGCTCCTAAAACCCTTGTAGATAGGGGTGCTACAAGAATTTTTTGTTCTTGTATTTGGTCTTTAGCCCTGGTTCCTGACACAGAACTCCTAAATCTGTTGGCATTTCCTTCCCAGGGCAACCAACCACGTAATTAGTGTTAGAAATCTCAATTCTCTCCCACAAACTGGGGAGAGGGAAGGGGTTGAAGGTTGAGTTGACCACTAATGGACAATGATGTGATCAATCATGCCTCCTAATGAAACCTCCACAAAGAAAAAAACCCAAAAGGACTGGGTTCAGAGAACTTCCAAATTGCTGAACACGTATGTGTAGGTTCCTGGAGGGTGGTACACCCAGAGAGGGAATGGAAGCTCCATGCCCCCTTCTCACATACCTTGCCCTATGCATATCTTCCATCTGGCTGTTCATCTATATCCTTTGTAATATTCTTTATAATAAACCAGAAAACATATTTCCCCGAGTTCTGTGAGCTGTCCTAGCACATCAATCAAACCTGAAGAAGGGGTCATGAGAACCTCAATTTATAGTCACAAGTATATGTGACAACCCCGTACTTGGGACTAGTGTCTGAAGTAGGGGGCAATCGTATGAGACTGAGCCCTTAATCTGTGGGATCTGACTCTATTCCAGGTAGACAGTGTCAGAATTAAACTGAATTATATAGTACCCAGCTAGTGTCACAGAACTGCTTGGTATGTGGGGGAAAACCCCTATACACTTTGGTCACAGAAGTGTTCTGTCTTATGTTAACTGCATAAAAGAAGAAAAAGTGTTTATGTCTTATCCATGATATAAGACATATAGAAAACAAAGAGCAAAATGGCAGCAATAACTATATAAACGTAAATAGGCTAAACTCTAATTAAAAGGTGAAAAATTGCCTCTGCTACAGTGGGGGTGGGGGTAGGGAAGGTGGAGACTGGCAGGATAGATTTAAAAAATGATCCAGGCCAGATGTGGTGACTCATGCCTATACTCTCAGCACTTCGGGAAATGAAGGCAGGAGGATCACCTGAGCCTGGGAGTTCAAGACTAGCCAGGTCAACATAGCAAGATCTCGTCTCTCAAAAAAAAAAAAAAAAAAAAATTAGC